GAAATAGGGTTTCTAACTAGGAGAGGAAATGGGAGATAGAGCTTAGCTGTAGTCTGTAAAGCTCTTACAAGTAAAATTCTTATGTAACTATATAATTAATAATAATTATGGAACACTCAATATGAAGCTGTTTGGGGCACTAGTTTGTTTTATATCTCTTTGTGCCAGCAACTGGGATGCTGGTAGAGGCAAAGAACTTGCATTTTCTGCTTGCTGAAGATATTTTAGCTCACAAGAAACAAACAAGTTGCAAAAGCACTGTTTTGCCCAGTTTTCTTCCCAACTATACTTCAACAGAAAACTGTGTTTTGCATGAAAATTTCCGAATTTATTCACTCACTTTTCCTGGTCCATCATTTTAGTGACTGTGTCAAATGAAATTGGAATGAGCTCTTCCTAAAGGTATTTTGAACTGGTGAGATTTGAAATCTTTAGTTTATGAACACTTGCACAAATTCCTGTCATCAGCCTGGTGTGGCTACAAATAGCATGAGGACCTGAGGAGCCTTGTCTGCAGCTGTTGTGCCTGAGCACACCGAGCACTGAGCTTGCAGGCATTGTCACTAACCAGCAGTGATTTTTAAAATTCAATTTTAAAGCTGGAAAGCTCGCTTGGCGTCTTGAGCAGCTCATTAGTTTTGGGTGGCTTAGAGCAGAAGAGGGCTTCTGTACACCAGCTCTGCTGCTCTGGCTCTTCCCTGCTTGGGGGGCTTCACAAAGGAGCTGACTGTTAGTTGTGGTGGTCAGGGTGTGAAGATGAAAAGGGAAGAATGAGGAAATGAAAGATTTGCCTTGGGGCTGAGAGGGGTGAAGGGACTGCTCTGAAAGTCATTATCTTGCATTTATAATTACCAGATTGGGAGGGTGGTTTAATGAAGAGATTTTTTCAAATGAAGACCCCCTTCATAAAAGGCACTCAATTCTTTGGGTGGGTAAGCTGCTCCGGAGGAAAAGCAAAGCAAAACTGGTTAAGAAAAATACAGTATTTCTTCAATTTAAGGCATGGATTTCATAGAGAAGCCGTAGACAAGTTTTCATGAAAACTTTGCAGACTCAGCAAGAAAGAGGAGGAAGAAAAACGGTAATTTGATTTCTGATGTACTTCTTACTGGGATCTGTGCTGAAAGGTGTAACTCTGTCCGGATGTGTACAAATAGATCGGCTTTCAAGTTGGCATAAAGTAATGGCCATAGAATTTCCTGCAGAATTACTCAAAGGGTGATATAATTCCAGCTGGCTGGCTGGGAATTTTATTAAACTGGTTACAGGAGGCTCACAAGTCATATTGGGAGACTTCCTTTTGTGTAATATGGGTGCAGCCAGTTCAGAGTCCACTCAAATGCTGTGTTCTGTGAAAGTGGGTTTGCTTCTGCATGTCAGACAAACTACAAATGATGATGAGTTTTAGTTTGATCAGAAAAGGAAGAGGAGCTTTTTATCGATAAGGGAAATTCTTGACTGCAGTGACATTGATTGTTCTCTCAGATCCCAAGTTCTTCAGGGCTTGCTGGCACCAGGTAATTCAAGAATAAGTTATCTTTTTGCCCTCGTGTTTTAAATCTGCCATCCTGCTTCATCTGAAATGCAGTCAGGTGCTTCTGATGGGATAGGGTCAGGTCCCTCTAAGCCATCATCCTTTATCATTGAGCCAGGACTATCAAAGCAAGATTTAAATTGAATTAGAAGAGGATATATGTGCAAGATTATGGTTCACATTTTTAGTGAGAAAGGCTTTTTTTGGTAATAAGAACCATATATATTTAACTGATTCCTTTATGTTAGTAACATGACAGTTCTACCCTCTCTTACACTCATAATTTGAATACTAGATAATATGGGGATTTTTTAAAAGAGCCTCCAGTTGTCAGCTTAGAAAAAAAAAATCTTTGCACATTCCCAGCTATTTTATGTTGGGGTTTAAAAAATAGTAATAAAAAAGCAGTACTAACTTTAGAGACCTTATTTTACTGTTTATTATCACCTATAATACCAGATGCACTATAATTCCCAGGGGCTTTCTTTTAAGCTTCTTAAATGGGCTCCTCAGGAAAGACAGGATATTCAAGCATGTTTTGATATGAGCAACTTTTTTCAGCAATGAATTTTGGATATGGTAAAACAGACAGACCCTTAGGTCTCTGCATGGAAAATACTGTATAAGCAGAAAAGGTAGAACAGGGAAAATAATGGACTATTTGAATCTTAATCTATTCAAATACAAGTGAAATTTGATCCTATAAAAATTCCTTACAAAACAGTGAGCAGATTTTCAGTAGTTCTGTATTTTAATGTGCACTTAATTAGCTTTATAAAAATGGAAATAGTCCCTAAAGAATGTAGCAGGTGGCAGGTTCTCTATTTAAAGAATTTTTCCAAGAAAATATTTTCCCTAAAGGCTATGACAGTAAGGAGTGTGTGCTCACACAGTCTATCCAGCATGTGTGCCTTTTGTTGCCTTATCCTTTCAAAGAAATAGCACATTGAAGAAATGATGGACAACCTTGAAGTGAAATCAGATTGAACCCCAAACAAACTGTGATGAAGTCTCTTTTCCAGAGGGATGCTGAATGTCAAGGAAATGGTGCAGAGTAATGAGTCTTTACAATTGCACCTCCTCTGAAGGAAAATATATTGAAGAGGGATTTCTGGCTAAATCCACGAGTGGTAATACTGCGTTCAAGTATCTTGTCAAGCTGCTGGATGTGACCTGTTTGGCAATTCCAAGAGTTGCATTTCCTTGCTCTTTTTTTGTGCTGATATTTTTTGTCTTGGTTGTTTCAAATTATTGAAAATCAGCTCTGATCTTAGTGCATACTTGGCTTTTAGAAGTACATCTTGAAATCGAATCAGCAGGAACAAATGAGATGGCTTTGGTGGAGGGGAGTGCAGCAGGAAGAGCATTTTGGTGTCTCTCAGTGGACACATTGTGCTGCTCCTCCACTTGCAAACAGATGGGCTCTTGCATTTGAGTTAAAACTGAGTTTAAAACCAGGGGGAGGAAGAGACTGTCTTTTCAGTGAATCAGTATTTGACCAGTGTTGTGGGGCTGACCTGTGCAGGTGGCAAAAGCTGCTGCTCCTTTCAAAGGGAGCACTGGAGCAATCACATCTGGACTTGAGTATTCACATGGCACATGTCCAAATTGCAGTGGGGTTGATCACAGGGCTACATGGGGAAATAGTGATCCTTATGTAATGATGCATAAAGAGTTTCTCTTCCTTGGGAATGGCCTGCCTCTGCCAGTGTAGTGTGTCACGTGTTTACTTACATATGCAAAATCAACTATTTTACTACATGCTTAGAATACAGTGCTATGCAGTAATGAAAATTTTGTCTGCTTGTGACTTCAGGCAGGGTGGCGTTTTATACACTGATGATATTATTTTCCCTTTTCCCATCTCCCACCAAAAAAAATGGCATTAATCCTGTAAGAGTTTGTATTCAGGTTAATGGGTCCACCTGCAGGTATTGGTTTGCAGAGTAAGGGCTGTGTAGTTTTTTAAAAGCTGCTGCAGGAGGGCTCCTTGTATCATAAGACGCAGACAGCAAAAAAAACCCCTCTAAAATCCTTTTTCCTCTGTGGAAGGGGGGTATTCCTCTTCTGGAAGTTACTTGGACGTCTGAGATTGGAGTTTTGAAACATCTGTGTTCAGTGTTCTGTTGAAAATGTAGAAATGGTGACATAACTGAAGGTCTGGGTGAAATATGACTTGACAGTTAAAAGTATCCACTTACGGATTTGACAGCATGGTATGCAGAGGTCCTCTGTTCAGGCAGCAGTTCACCGGATGCAGGAAAATAGCTCTGATCAGTGTGTGACCTTGAAAGTGGTCATGGGTCTTCCTCTGCCCAACGGGACGACAGAGAACAGAGAAGTTCTGTTTCACAGTATAAGTTCTTGCTTATCTGGAAGAAGTAACTGAAAGTGGCTTTTTTGCTATTCTCAAATAATTTAAGTTCTCGGAATTTTACATATATGAGAATTGCTCATAGAAGTGTCTGTATGCTTACGATCTAGGATTTGAAAGACCTCAGAGAACCAGAGCCCTACTTCAGCTTGTACTTCAGTGCAGGTGACATTTACCCTTACATCAATTTTAGGTTTTTACTTACTTTTCCTGTGCACATTCACAGCTCTGTGTGTCAAAACCTGTCTTAATGGCATTTCAATGTACATTAAAACCCACAACTTCAATGTCGGTGCAATGTCAAATTAAAAGAAATGTTCATAACCAAATAAAGAAAAAGCTATGTCATCTCTTCTATACTTTGCAGTGAGGCTAATATGTGGAATAATTGTTTTTAGGAATTGCAAAAGAGTAAAACTTCTTGTTTCCTTGTAAAAAATGAGATCACAGTTTATGAATGAAGCAACTCTGTCATGCAGTCTTTGTCACCATGAGTGAAACTCAGGTTTCTGCTTGACCTCTGTGGAAAAGTTCTGTGGGAAACGCCTCTGCTTAAACACTGGGACAGAAAACCAAGGGCTGGGAAAGCAGAATGGTTGTCACTAAGCTGAAGTAGGAGGGCTGAGATAAAAGCTTAAGCATTGCTTTTCAGTGTGAAGGTAGAGTGTGTCTGTGTTTGTGTTTTCAAGGGGGGGGGATGTACTTTCAAGCCAGTTCTACCTATCTTATTTAATGCTGTTTTCTTGGGGTATTTGAATGTAGATGACAGAATCAAGATGAGTTTAATATGTAAAAATCCCACTGTTTAATGTTATTCCTGAGGAATATTAGTTCTACAGTGTTTTGTTCAGTGACAGTTCTTTACTGCTTCTAAATGTCAGTAAATGTAAATTCCTCTTTTATTAGTGTGCTATTCAAAGAAAAGTTTGCCCTTGGCAAACACTTGAAAGACTCCAAGGATTTTCATGTATTTTTCAAAAGTTAGACAGTTTTCTGCGTTTTTATGGTTTAGGGATATATTTTTTTTAAATACGTGCTGTGAAATTTTGCATAAAATGACTTTGCGATGCAATTTTTTTTTTCTCTTTACAGATGAAATCATGCATCAGGATATCATTCCCCTCTATGCTGCAGATATTCAGGACCAATTAAAGAAACAATTTGCTTATTTGTCGGGTAAGACTGTGGTGTTCCCTCCTATACACATTGTTTAGACACATAGTTCAGCTTGTTGTCCTTTCACAGTCTCTGAGGACTCTTCTATAAGAAATCAATGAGTGACTCAAATTGCAGGCTACCAAGACTTGATATTTAAGAATTTATAAAAGATTTTTTAAAGGCATAATAGAAATTTTAAAATTACAGGTAATTTTCCAGTTAACTGGAGATTGCAGCATGGATACTCTGGTGGTGGGTATGGTCTTGCAGTCCTCAGCTGACAGCCCCAGCTGCCAGGGGCTCAGCTGTCATGTTTGATACTGGAGCCCAAGCTGACACCTTGGTCCTGACTGAAGTGGGACCAAGCACCACGGTACCATGTTCTCCCACAGCATCAGTGCTGGGCTCAGGCAAGGGTAGCATCGAGTTCTGGACAGGATTTTGGACTTGGTATCACTGACTGCCTGCTGCAAAGGAGCCTGCTTTTGGCTATAAGGCTGTCTCCAAAAGCAGCACAGCCACTTTGGCACAGCACAGAGGGTCTCTGCCCCTGGGTCACCCGTGCCCAGCAGGGGATGGGGGCTGGAGTTTGTGCTGTGCATGTCCTGGCTGCTGAGCTTGCACCATTTCCACCCTGAGCCCATGGCTGGCTGATCGTGGGCAAAGGGAGGTGCTGCCATTGCTCACGGATCAGGCTGAGTGCAAGAAGGTGTCTGAAAAGCTTCTGAGTTTGTTCTCCTGTCTTCTGCCTGTAAAAGCTCTTGCAGGTGTGCAGCAGTCAACTTGCTGGAGTTATGGCCCTGTCGTGCCCTCCCTCCAGTACACAACAAGGGTTTTGCAAATAAACATCAGTGGCTTTGTAGAGCTGCCCTGCATCCTTCAGCATAAAATAAATTTACCTCTCTGAGCTACAGCTAGACTGTGACTGTTCCCTCTCCCTCTGAATCCCATCCTGATCGAGAAACACAGGGGAATGAACAATGTAATGCTTTACTTGGAAAGAGCTCACTGAATCTTGTTTTACTCATGATTAACTAATAATTATGATTTATTTCTGCTACACAAGCTAAACTGTGGGTCTGCAGTAGTGACTGTTTTCTATGGGGTGATGGTAGCAGTTGGAAAATAAGATTTTTTTTTTTAAATGAAATTGACTGTTCATGCTTCATTTGAGGTTATAGTGTTTAAGCTACAATTCTTCTCTGGAAATTTATTTTTTTGACTTTCCAAGCTCATTCTAATCCATGGGCAGAAAATGTCTCATGAGAGTGTTATGCAAGAATCAGCCTATCTATGGAACTATAAATAGGGTTTATATTTTGCCCCTCTGAAGTGAGGGGGGGAAACTAGTGATTGTGGTAGATGAGTTGTTGAGTTCACAAATCCACAAGTGTCTTCAGCACTGAATAAATCCACGTGGCCATGGAGCTTAGTAAGAGGAGCCATTCCTCATTCTATTTTCTTCTATCTATTCACAATCATGTCAATTAGAATTTTGTTTTATTTGCCTCAAGGAATAGGTCAACAGCATTACTGTGATTAGATTGTTGTATTTTATTATTCTTGGGTAACTTGAGTGTTAGGCATTTTCATTTCACTTTAGAATTCGGGTTTTTTTTGTCCTAATGTTCTCCTGCAGGATGCTGATGGTTAATTCTTTGTGCTGTACCAAACAGTGGTTTTACAGGTTCTGTGAATGCAGGAACAGAGCCAATGTTTTGATACTTGATTTACGTACAATTTGTTTCTTGTTACAGTTGAGCTTAAGAGAGGCTTTGCTCTAAGGCCACTTAAGACATTCCCAGTGTGCATGAATGGGACTTTTTTGCTTATTACTAAGTTGCCTTGGAAATACAATCTAAGTACATGGCATAAAACTCATTAAAATGAAAGTCCATAGATTACTAATGCCTTTGGTAAAATAGCATGTTTGCAGGTATTGCTGAATGTCTGAGATGCATTTCTGATTTTAGTTGTTGGCATTTTAACAGTAAGTCAACATGTCCTTGAGAATTGCTTTGGTTTCTGTAATAGCATGTATCTAGGTCTCATGGGACACTTGCTTGAATAGGGAATGAAACCCAGTGTGCTTCTGTGCCTAAAGGCTGTAGCCCTTCCCCAGCTGCTTTCTGTGTTTTGGTCTGAATCAGGGTCACTTCTCACTCGTGTCCCTCGTTGTGCTGGGTTGTGATGGAAATGCTGCAGGAACATCCAAATTAGACTTGAAATGAAACAAAATTAAGTGAAAACTGCCACTAATGCTTCAGTTTGTCAGTAAATATATCAAAGTACAGTGAAATCAAGGTGCTCACTACTCTGCAGACTGGCTCTTGCTCAGCAGTGAGTATGCAGTTGTGTTCAGCTTAAATCTAACGCTGGGGCAAGCTGTGGACAAGGCTTGTAATTAGTCATCCACACAGAAAGTTTATAAAGCCCAAAGTTAATATTTTACCTCAGGCATTGTTGTTTACTTTTTGCCCACTTTCTGTGGAACAAGGTCCTTATCTGGGCTAAAATAGTCACTTTTGTTGTTGCTAGGCTATACTAAGTGTTGTGTCTACATGGTTCAGTGTTTCCCCTCTTTTACCTTTGCTTTCTTTAGTTACTATTAGTGCAACCACTTTTTCTTCCACATTTAAAAGGGTCTTCTGCCCTTTTTTTTCACTTGTTTTTGATTTTATCCCATGAAGGATAAAAAAAAGTAAAGTCCATTTAAAAGTCTCTGGAAAATGTATTCCTTATGTGTTCCTCACAATCTTTCATTCATGTTTTATTTTTTTTTCATAACTATTTTCTCTTTCCATGATTGCTGTGTGACTTTCATACCCACCCAGCCTTGAGTCTGTCTGCCATCACAGTGTGAAAGAGTGTTAAAATAAATGTAGATGGAGAAGAGCATACAGACACCTGTGTATGTTGATATGCATCTTAAATAATTCAAGCTGTGTGATGTGCAAATTGGCCACCATGAGTACTGAACCAGTTATTTAACTCCCTTTCCTTTTCCTCTTTATGCATTGAACAACTTCAAAGTGTTTCCATTAAAGGAAATACAAATATGGGTTCATGCTATTTTCATTTTTGCCTATTGATTCCTGGTTGGTTTTCCTTCCATTGAAAAATTGAACATCAATACTAGCTTTCAAAATGCTTATATCTTTGGTTTATAAATATATACATATATGCTTATACCTTTATCATTGTAAATTGTAAGCATCTCACTTTCTCCAAGTTTATTTTCTTGGATGTGCTCTTGCTTTCCTCTGTGGAAATGACCTGACCACTCCTCACTGGTCACACTGTTCCCATTGAAGTAACTCTGGATGCCGAGTCTGTAAAATTACATTTGAAAATTTCTGAGTGGATCCTGTACCACATACACTGCAACAGTTGGCTAAAAATATCAGCCTGATTTTTGTTGCTGTTATAATATAGACATAGAATATCTATATTGTGTGTGAACAGGGGAAGAGGTATTGCTTAGAAGTCTTTGTCTTGCACAAGTGTAAACTTAACTCCTGTTTTTCATTTACTGTGCTAAACCTCCTGTCTGTAGAGATTTAAAAAAAAATCAAAGCAAAAATGTAGTAATGGAAAAGATAAAGAGAAAAAGTGAATCTTTGGCTAAGAGATTTCCGGTTCAAATATGTTCAGATGCAGATTTATGTATTGCAATCCAATTTTTAAGCCAGTATATTTGCTTCTGATCAGCCTGGGCAAAACGCAGCTTGTGAAGTTATGCAAGTAAAACTTCTCATTTCAAGGAAAGAACATTTTAATAAATTCCTCTTGAATCTGTTTTTTGTTGCAAAGGATATGCAGTGAAGCTTTTATCCACTCCCTCATTTAAGCCTACATGTAATTTCAAATACTGAATTCTCCAGTTAAGTATATTATGCAAACAGAAAGGAGAAACTCCTTATCAGAAATGCACTAGCAAAATAGTTGAACCACTACAATAGTAAAAAAAAAAAAAAAAGTGAGGTAAGCCCTTAGTCACATGAGGACTTCACTTTTGACAGGACTGCAATGTTTGAGCAGCGTCTACATTGTAGATCTGAGCCATTCAACAAGGATGATGCTCTTGGATCTTGTGTGTGCACATTGATCAACATAGGGATCATGGTTTTTCTTATAGTCTAAATACTATTTCATTTGCATTATAGAATCTAGGCCAGAAGACTCTTTGCTGTGTCATCTAATTATATCCAGCTACTTACTTCCTTTTTGTGGGGGTGGTCAGAGCACTTTTGAGAATACTTTTTTTTAATGCCAACAAGAGCAGACTAGTTAGGGAAACACTGCAAAATAATCTCTTAGTCATCCTTCCTGGAAGTTAGTCTAAGCAATTTCTTTGCTGCTGTCAAACTTTGTTGTCCATACAAAACCCCCAATAACTAGCATGTCTTTTACAGGGTTGTGGGGAATTACCCTTTTCTCTGTGTTTGCGTGTGCTTGTGCACTTGTGTGTGCGGTTTTTAGCAGATGTACAATATGCCAGTTTTTAAACTTTCCCTGTCAGTGCTTTTTTTAAACTGGAAAGAATATTAATTATGTGTCATTGGAGATTGTTTTTAGATACCAAGTTACTAACGTCATCTTGATTAGAAATTATGAAAATGCCCTGCAATTACTTTGGGTTAGCACCTCTCTATCACCCAAACTGCTTAATAAAAAAGAAAACAAATGCAGAAGATATAGCAACTGTGATGGGAAAAGTTAGATGTAGCAGAATATAAAAAATAAATGCTAAATCACTGGAAACTTTAAATTAAAGGAAACTTCCCCAGTCCAATCTCACAATAGCACAGCTAGTTTCCCATGGTTATTTTTTCTTCTGTTTTCACGTACAAGACCGTGATGCTCTGAGTACACACACTTTTAGCAATTGGTGATATTGCTAGTGTTATTTGTGTTCAAAAGTTAGGAACATGAAGTATTATTTTCTAAGCACAGTTAAGTCATTTTGCTGTGTAACCTGTGGAGCTAGTACAATTCAATGTTTTTAAAATGTGTGATTCTCCAAACACAGGGCTGTCACTGTTGTAAAAACTTACCTGAGACCAAGGCTCGTAGATCTGTTTAGAAGAGCTCCACCTAACAGGGCTTTGCAAGAATTGTCAAAGTTTATCCACTAAAAAATTTCCATTTTATGGAGGCAATTTATTTTGTTTGACACTAAATCTGTTAAAGAAGTTTCATGTGAATAGGCTGCCAAAGTCATGTATAAGTCAGTTAATGACAAAGTTTTCTGTTAATGAATGCTTACAGAAGTAGGGTAGAAGGAGATCTGCCTAATTTAAACTGGTGTAGTGTTTTTATTTTATTTAATTGCTGAAATAAGCTTCAGTCCTCTTTACTTCTATGGTGCTTTCATTTTTAGCCTGGAAAGTAATAATCTTCTCAGTTGCAGAATGTTTCTCAGAGCTGCATGTTATAAGACAAGCATCAAGGAATTTTTGGGAATCATTTCAGGTAATATGTCTGCAGACTGATTGCACCCACTTAGGGACTGATGCATTCTCTTCTGCTCTTTGCAATAAATAAAAAACTAAAGCTGGCACTCAAATGGCATTTACTTAATATTTCATAGAGAAATTATGCTGAATGTATTTCAGGATTTTCATAGAATCACAGAACAGATTGGGTTGGCAGGAACCTCAAAGATCATCTGGACTATCCCTACCCTGCCATGGGTAAAGGCATCTTTCCCTAGATCCATTCAATCTGACATTTTTGTAGTCAGAACAGTGCTCATAATTTTTTAAACAAAAATAAGGGGACTTGTTATACTTTCAGAAAATATGTTTTTTAAAAAAGGCTAATATTAGGCTAAGAAAATGCTCTGATTGCTCTCAGGTACTTGATTGTCTTAAAAACACATAAAACTATTAAATTCCCTGTGTAATACTAGAAAATCAGAGAGCAGGCTCGTGTGTGCCTCTGTGGACAGAACTTGTCCAGCAAATCAGTTAAGGCTGTTCAACAGCTGTAGCTGGAATTTCAGGACCCTGAGCTAGAGGGGAATGAGAAAGAGATGATTTTCCAGTGGTTAGGTTACCTCCAGTGGAGGTAGTTAGATAAAGTCACTGTACCTACTAACCTGAATTTATTCCTGTTAAATGACTAATTTTTTGTGTGGTGATTAAAATTGCAGTAACTAATTTTAAAAATTACTCTGTATGTATTGAATTATTTGCATGAGTTTTAGCACTCAAAAATTCATCTGTCTTTGTTTTGTAATTGGGTGTATATAATTCTGAGCTGCTGGAAGATTATTATATGAATTAGTTTTAATTAGATGTTTGAATTTTTTGCCTTAAACCTGTGTTTCTAAAAGGATAAGAGAAGTAATATTGTTCAGTACTTGTCACTTGAATGGTTTCCTTCTCACTAAAACCCAAGTCAACAACAATAAACCCCCTAAGAGTATAGCTTCCTAAACTTTTTATCTCCTTTCCCTAAGTTCTGTGGCTTCATTTACTTTTGGGTGAAGAAAAGAAAATCACATTTTACATAGCTAATTTTATGACCCATGCTGCTTTTGCAGAGGTGAAAAAAAAATGGGGAAGAAAAGAATTATTCTGAATAAAGGAAAAAATAATTTCTTGCTGCATCAGGTTCATTAAGAAATAAAGCACACTTTAAAAAGTGAACTCATTATTTTTTCTATTATTTAATATAAACACAATTAATATGTGGGATTTTTACTTTGCTTTATTTCCTATGCTCTTTTTGTAAATTTCCCTGACAATGCTTCTTTTAAAGCAGTGGCTGCTTTGGCCAGTGACCTATCTTCCTTTGATGGCTGTGTATTTAATCACAGAATCACTAGGTTGGAAGAGACCTTCAAGATCATCAAGTCCAACCTATAAAGTTGCAATACAGAGAGCAGCTTCTGTAAGTCAGTATTGTTAAAGCTGAAATTTACAGAATTTCTTATGTGCAGCATTTTGGGTCACTCTGCCCTAAACTCTTTTGAGGAGCAGGTTCTGATAAGGAATAGCTGAGGAGCATTTGAAAGTATATGTGTGCTCAAGTGGCCCAGCAGGGAAACACTGAAGAAAAAGATAATCAGTGTGGAAAAACCTTCTAAGAGCTTAGGGCAGAGTCATCTCCACCCAAGATAACCACAGATGACTGTACTAGAAACTGAAAATTAATAGGCAGCCTCCAGGCAGGATGGCTCTATTTGCCCTTGACAATCAGTGGTGGTCTGGGAACTTCCTGACAATCCTAGTCCTGACTTCTGCTTTTAGGACATGTCCTGCAAGTCTATTGTTGTTGTTCTTTTGTTTCGTATGACCTATTTATAGAAATTAAGTAGAACAAAACAAGTAACCAGTGAAGATACCACAAATAATGTATGATTGTGCCTAAAAATAGTTACTCTGAAGAGAGCAGAACACCTCATAAGGAACAGAAATAATCATTATCATGCTTTTAATAAGAGAGGAGAATGTTTTAGTGAGAGCTTGGGTAGAAAAAGAATCAATAGAATCAAAATTGGTCTTTAATTTTATTTGTGTTGTGAATATTTGTATTGCTAAAATTAGCTCCCTTGACTCAGTATTGCCATGTTTGGATGTGTCATAAAGGTCATGTTTGCAAACTTGTGATATTTACATATTAGATGCATTTTTTGTTGTTTAAATACATCCAGAGCACATTATTTTTTTAGTGTATTTTGATTCCAAGAGGTTCATAGTGACAGCACCATGCCGTCTGTAATCAGATTCACCACAATTAACATAAAGATACCATTTGAGCTCTTCTAATTACATGTGGTTTGGAGGGAAGTTGTGATTTCTTTTATCAAATGAATCTGAGGTCAAATATTTATCTTCTTTTTCCTGTGAGGTTAGATGCAAAGGGGCTGGAAGTGGGTAATAATCTTCACAAATCACTGTTGTTCTCATAACTGGTGCTGTTAATACAGTTTGATGCTGGTTTCTGCACAGTTACCGGATTTCAAGGCTGGAAAAAATATCCTTGCTATTTTATAACAGCACTTTGTTTTTCTTCTCCTGTTAAGCAGTGAAGCAAAGCTAACTTCCCAGCAGGGTGTTCCTGCCACCCCAGAACAGTTAACTTCGTGCAGATGCTAAGCCTCAGCAAACCTCTTCTCCTACCTGTCTTTATGAATATATACTTGATAAAGACATGAAGCACTAATAATGCCTTTAAAAATAAATTATTACATTTTGCATGTAAGAACGTGTGTGACGTGCACAAAGCATTGTGTCTGTGAATTGTACCCAGTGTCACAAATGCCAGGAAAGATATGGATTATGGTATCTAGCTCATCAGCAGCTCTACTGCAGTGTAGGTGTTCAGCTCTGCTTTACCTTCTGTACATAATCTGGGAATGGGAAATCTCATTTTAAACACCTACACTCATTTCTTTTAATGTTCTGCCCCATCTGTATCACCAACCTGGAAGCAAAGCAGCCAACTGAGCAGGGTGGGGGGTGTTGCATGAATGAGTTCCAATTGATAAGAGGGTTGAGTTCAGTTCAAGGTGGAGATTCTCCTACTGAATTCTGAATTAACTTTTTTATTTCTAAATTAGTTCATTTCTTTCTGCCAATTGCTTCCATGCAGTTGTCGTTTATCAGAATAAAGATGCACTGCCATCTGGTGTCAGAGCTGCTCACAAGAGCCAAGGCATTTGTCCAGAAAAAATGTAATGAGGTGAATGGGCTGTAACAAATTCCTTTCTATAAAACTTCCTAATCACTGGAGAGAGGCTGCTCAGAATGAACTATCCACACAGGAGCCCTGGGGAAAAACAAAAGACAAAAAAACAAGTGAAAAAAAAAAGAAGGCAAGCAGTTGTTTCATTACTGGGAAATTTCAGTCTAGGTAAAGATACTTGCATGTAAACACATTTGCTTCTTCTTTTGTAGGTGGGAGAGGGGGAGATGGCTGCCCTGTTATCACCTTTCCAGACTATCCGGCTTTCAGTGAGATTCCTGAAAAAGAGTTTCAGAATGTCCTGACCTACCTGACAAGCATTCCAAGGTGAGCACCTGTCTAGAAGAAAATAACCTTTTATCTGCTAAGGGACTTTTCACATTTGATCCCTTACATGTGGTGTAAAAATCAGGCTTTGTATTTAATTAAAGAAAATGAAAATTAAGCTTATGGTGCAGCATCAGTAAGTGTTGGTTAGTGACAGCTGTCTAAGGTAGTTTTTAGATAAATTATGTACTGCTATTTATATTTCATCAGAAAACTACTTCCTGGTATGTATGGATATAGGTTCCGTGATGGACATCGTCCTCTTGTGTCTTCACTGTATCTTAGAACACAATATTCAGTGTTTTAATTGAGCACATGTATCATTTTAGCAGAACATCCTAATTCCTGGGTGCTGCTCAGGATATTACTCAGTGAGGGAACACTCTATCCACATACAGTAGTTTTTCCTCTCCACCTGAGCTGTTTCCCTGGCTAAGATGAATGTATAGTGTCTGCAGACTTCCAGAGCTTTGCCTGAGGGTGCAAAGCAGGGCCAAGGGTTAATTGTGACTCTCTTAGAGGGCACCAATGGGATGCTCAATAAACATCGTGATTTTTGTTAACAGTCTGTTAAAGAATGAAATAATGGGCTCAAAATCTTGATGGAGGTGCGGAAGACAAGTCGCAGAATAAACTACATGCCCTAGACTTCAGGAGAGCAAATTTTGGACTTATTCAGGGAACTGCTAGGTGGGATACAAAGGAAGGCAGTTCTGAAGAGTAAATCTGCTGTGGAAGGCTGCCAAGTTTGGAAGGACAGCATTCTCCAAGTTCAAGAAGGATACGTCCTGGAACGTGAATAGACGTAACAGGAGACTGACCTCACTGTGTGAAAATGAACTTGTGACTGAGCTGAGATACAAAGGCAGAAAAGGCTGAGATACAGGAGGTGAAAGCACGGACAGGCTACAAAGGAAGAACGTAGATACATTGTCCAAATATGTAGGGATGGCGTCAGAAAAGTCCAAGCACACCTGGAGCTGAGGGACAAGAAAATAGAGACGTCAAGGACTTCTCAAAGAAACTTCCAGTGATTTAGCAGCACAGGAATAAACAAGGAAAATATGGGCCTGTGCTGAATGGGCTGGGCAAATTAGTAGCAGCCAATACAGATGGGGCTGAAATACTCGAGTTCTTCACTTCAGTCTTCTCTGACAGTATCTTCCAGGCCTATGTGGTCAGAGAGAGTTCAAGGAGAAAAATGGCAAACAATGGCTGAGGACAAAATCAAGCATCTCTTGAGAAATCTTGACCCAAATCTAGTGTTTGGGATGAGATGAGCTGCTTTGAGAGTGGTGAGGACGCTGATCAGCATCATAGTAAGGTTGCTCTCCATAGTCCTTGAAAGGTTTTGAGATTAGAGGTAATCTCACTTTGATCTGTGAGAAAATTATGGAATGAGTCCTCTTAAAATACACTTTTGGGCACATAAAAGAAGGAGGTGATGGAGAGCAGTCAGCATGAATTAAACAACAGTAATTGTGCTTGACCAGCCAATTTCTGTGATCAGAATACTGGATCATCAGTGAGGCAAAGCTGTTTATGTTTTTTGCCTCACCCCAAGCAAGACTTTCAACTCAGTCTCCCCCAGCACTCTTCTATTCACTTTGAGTTGTTACATTTTGGCAGGTGGGCTGCTAAGTGCTTGGATTATGTGGCTCAAAGAGAGGTTTGATATTGGCTGATGTTTTGTCTGGAGACAGACTTCCTCAGGGAACTGTATCCATGCTGTCTGATGTCCTTGGCAAGGATCTGGAGTAGGAGATGGAGTGCACCCTCATCAAGTTGTACCTGATGTAACCAGCCCCTCCTGGCTGTACTTCTTAATCCTTAGTTTGTCACTCTGAAGCTCAAAGCAGCTTTTGCATTTTCTTTGTTTATCCTCATGGTGATTAAACTGCATGGTGCTAAGCATCCCTTGATTGTATCTTGAGTACTGTTTCTGCAAATAATTATATTCTAAATTCACATCTGCTTCTCCTTTTGAAAGTCCTTGGTGGTGCACTTCATGGTGGCCCACTGAACTGCACAAAGTGGGGTTCATGTGAGAAATTCTGATCAGACAAACAGCATCTGGTACAGTGGGGGAGCACTGTGTGCATCCCAGCACACCACTTGGATAGGAGTGGATTTTCTGGAGGTTTTTCCTCCAGTTGCTCTTACCTGACAACAATTACTCTGCAAATATTGAGCCAGAAATACTAATTTCTTAAGTCTGGCTATTCTAGGATTTTCTTGTTTCTTTAATTCGTAAGTATTTAGAAAGAGAGGACTGTTCTTTGTAAACAAAGGAGATAGACCAGCTGTCTAGATGTTAAGAGTAAGGTATTCTCTACTGTAAATATAACAGTTCTCTAGGTTTAAAGTGATGACAGTTCAATTTCAAATCTTGTAGAAATAATGCTGTTGTTAAGATAGTGATAAATGTGCCACTTTTTGTGTCTGAGAATTGATAGAATCTCAAAGGGCTTATGACATTTCTGACTGATATCTTAATTAGCAGTGTCAGAAATTTACTGTGTAAAATTCTGCTTGTGAGGCCTTCTGCAGGTTTATAGGAATAAAAAACTACAGAAATGACACTAGCTAGACACTACCATACATCCCCTTGTGAAAGATATTTTACTATTGATATTTTGATATTGATATTTACTATTTACTATCAATTTACTACTGATATTTTTGTTACTGATATTTTACTATTGTTATATATATACACATATATAACCCTACAAGGGGCAGTGCTGCAGTTCTTCTTGAACTGGGATATTTCTAGTGCTCTTAAAGGTGGTGTAAGGTAGGATTTTTCCTGCTGTCTTAGTGTTCAGATACTGTTTTATGTGCTTTGGAAGCAGCTTTTAAAGGAAGTGGAGGCAGTTTTTAGTTTGTCAGTTGGTCAAATTGGTGTAAGGAGTACAGATTTACAGAAAAGATGGAATTGCAGCTCATGGCTCTTAAGCATGGACTGTTCTCCCAGGTTATTTAATTTATCAGATATCTAACTGTCTTTTGGCTGTTCTGACAGACTGAGGGGAAATGGACTTTCCCAAGAGCACAAACACATCTGGAGCCACCCCAGTTCCTCAGAAAACTACTTGTTCTACTTGGCCCTGTACAAGATCACAGCAAGGGGTTGGCAGCAGTAACTCAAACCTCATTGTCTTACTGCCTGGAGTCGCATGTTAAGGGAAATTATATTTCATGAGGATGACAGCAAGGAGCTACTTAGAGCTCATAAGAAAAGACCTTTGTGCTCTGCAGTAGAGTTCACCCAATAGTATATTTACTGGTATAATAAATCTTAACAGTGACTTCAGGTTTTCAAGATCTCTTCCCAAGTGAAAGAAGGCTAGCTTAGGACTTTCTTGAAAGAGGAGAAACTGAAAGCTCTCAACCTACCTTTTTATTCCTTCTAATTTTATAAATAAACATGACCTTATCACCTCTTACTGTGTCCCTGTTCTGTGTTATCTGAACACTGGGTTTCACAAGCTTTTTCTGTGTGAACTTTCTCTTGTCACAGTAAACTTCAGTCATGAAACAAAAAATATCTCATGTACCTTGCATTTAGGAATAGAACTATTAAAAGTTGTATGCTATCAGCTTAGGTGATCATAGAGTAGAATAGTGTAAACAGTAGAGCTATTAGCATGTGCTTAGCTGTGTAAATGCCTGATACATGAGGATGTTAAGAAAGGACACAGTGGAAAGGGAATACCTCATCTCAGTTTAAAGATGCTCAGTTAACCTAGGTGCAACTGTATAACATTAAGCAGAGAGCTGAACCTTATTCTTCAGGTGGGTGTTGTTAATGTTGCAAGGTAAATTCGTGTTCCATAGATGGCTGGATAAAATACAATGTCTAACATATAGTTTGTAGTAATCTCAAAATATTCAGTACAGATTGTTGACATGATGTGTGACAACAGTCATGTACCATGTGTACTGAAAGATCGCTGTTTTGTCAGGAAAAAACAATGGATTAAGGATGAGTACAATAGACAGTAGAAAATTGCAGCTAATGCTTTTATAATTTCTGTTTTGTTATTGAAATTTATGTTCTAAAGGTATCTCTGTAATGCTTCTGAAGCGGGTTTTCCTTTTAGTAAATGATATTTTTTATTATTACTGAAATATAAGATAAAGTATTATTTAAAAGGTGAGAATTGTCTCAGAAAGATACATAGGCTAGCCAAGAAGAATCCATGGCAGTACATAAGGCAGTACTTTCTAGGAAGAGTTGTTTAACTGAAATACTGAATTGGTACAAATATTTAACATGTAAATATTGACACACATGAATTAATAGTTCTTACCAATGGAGTTGTAGCATACAGTACTGTCTCTATATAAAGTGTCTGTAAGAGGTGACAGCTTTAAATTCAGGTGTGCTTCAGTAGAGGACAATCAATCATGTCTTGCATCCTTTTGGGATATTGTGAGATATTATAATGTCCAGGTAGTTGGTCTGATTCTCTTTCTGCAGAGAACGTCTCCTATTACTTCACTCTCTGAGTCCTTTAGGGATGACTGCTGAGCTCGGCAGGAGAAAAAGGCCCCACAGATCAAAGTTGTCTTCTCTCTTAGCTGAGTAAAAGTTGGATAAACACCATCATTCTTAGTGCATAGTGGGAGAGGCAGCTGTGCAATGTACCTTTTACATCACACGTGTGCTGAGGCTATTGCATTTCAGGGCATTCAGTGTTCTCTGTTTGGAAAGTTTTGAGGTTTTTGTCGTTTTTCTATTGATCCTGGTAAACAGACTTCTAAGATTTGCAGTGTACCTTGAAGGCAGGTATTATTCAAATTTCATTTCTCTTCATCACCGCTGTTTCTTGGAATGTGTTTTATTAGCTTAAGTGTGTATGCATTGTTGGAACATGGATTTACCAAATATAGGTAGTAGCATGAGAACTTGCTCCAAAAGAATTTAATAGATCATTGCAGTGGTTAAAAAAACTTAACTACATTAATACTACAGTATTTTTCAACATATGGTT